ATCCGTTATGCAGGGTTCCCGACCGTGCTCACCGGTTGCGTTGCGAGTCCAGCCTTTGAGGGCTGCTCGGCTCGAAGCTCGACCCTGGCTGACTGCGGGGGGTCCTGCCGCAGCAGCAGACCACCACCTGCTCTGTCCAGTACCTCGCCCAGTCTGCCCTTCTTCTCTGTCCTCCTCCCCGCGCCGGAACCGGCGGAGCGACTTTTTTCGTCAGCGGCGAGGCGGCGAACTCCGCTCCAGCGAGAAGCTAGACAGGGGCACTAACTAACGAGTTGGCCGGCGGGCAAGGAGGGGTGTGGCGGGGGGGACGGCCGAGAGGAAGAAGGAACGCCCAGACGTAAACTTAGGTCGGGCCTGTCCCCCTACAGGCGGATCTGGGGCGAAAAACTTAAAACATACTAAAACAAATACTCCCCGAATGCTGAAAAATAGTCAAACAATAGCCCCCAGACTGTTCTTTGACTATCTTTGAATATCCCCCCTGTAGAGGGACAGGCCCGACTCAGACGTAAGCCGGCGGAGCGACACGCTGTCCACACATTCCTGGCCGTGAGGTCCGAGGCCGGAGAGCAGCTTCGATCACCTCTCGCACCCGCGAGGCCGGCGCTCGCGGCCCTGGCCGCGGCGGGGCTCGAGGGGCAGGCCGCTCGAGCAGTGGCGAAGCGTCCCGGCGTGCCTATAGTCGGGCATCGAACTCTATACACCGACGCCTTCTCTGGCCCGGCATGGAAATTCGCACTGAAGAGCGGATCCTGGTGTATACGGGATCCTGGTGTATACGTTTTTCGTTGTTTCTCTTCGAAAGCGGGGGACAAGTATACACCACACCACCCCAGCGTCGTCCCCGACCCTCAAAAAAGTGCAGGGATTGAAAGCCGTCCGCCACTGGTAATGTATATGCTCCAGTTTCCGATATAGATACACCAAAGAATGGTCTGATAACCTTTGTGGTCTGCACGAGATGTGCTTAGGACATTTCTAAGTGGGACTGTCTCGTTCTAACACGTCGGGGACGCGTTCTAAGAGCACTGTGTTTGTTATTCGAACATTTTTGGGTTCTAAGAGCATGTCGTGGTAGGCCTCTGGGAATGCCGGGACGGTCGGTCCCTGCTCAAGCGGCGGGGCTCGAGGGGCAGGCCGCCCAAGTAGTGGCGAGGCGTCCTGGCGTGCCTATAGGTAGGTACACCAAAGAATGGTCTGATAACCTTTCGTGGTCCGCACGAAATGTCCTTAGAACATTTCTGGCTGGGACTGTCTCGTTCTAACACGTCGGGGTTATGTTCTAAGAGCACTGCTTTTGTTCTTGAAGCATTTTATTTTGGGTTCTAGTAAAATTTCGTGGTAGGCCTCTGGGAATGCCGGGACGGTCGGTCCCTGCTCAAGCGGCGGGGCTCGAAAGGCAGGCCGCGTCCGCCGCTGCGGCCGCTCCAAAGCATCGCAGGCGATTTCCCAGACACGATCGCGCCGTTAAAAAACAACATCAGGAAGGGATTTGTTTGGCAATTTTCGGCCCCAGGGGGCCCTCGCCGGGCCTCGGGGACGTCAAAAAACGACTCCGGACGAAAAGCCGGTCTCGGGGAACGGGTCGGGCCTTCCAGGGACGCCGTCCTGAAAGAATCAGGACGTCGCATGTCTGTGTCTCTGCCTCTCTTCGGCGGCGAGCCTGGGGGGGAAGCGAGGAGGGGCGGGCCTCCTCAGAAGGCAGGCTCGGGAGCAGCCTTCTGGCCTTCGGAGGAATGCTCGAGACCTTCCCGGAAGACAGAGGAGACCACTCAGAAGGCGCGAGGGCTTCTGAGAAGTCCTGCTGCCATCTGAGAAGGCCGTCTCCGTCTCACTCCACCCCCCTTGCTCGGCGCCGATTTTTGGACGCCCGAAATGGGTACGGAAAAAATGTGTACAATGGTCCAGGAACCGGCAGCAGCCGTTGTTGGGCTGGCGGCGCATTGTCTTCAAAGAAGAGCGTCCGCGGCGGCGCGGACAGCGATGCCTGCCCCAAATGAGCAGGAAATGCTCTTTGGCATCGTACCCATTCTTTCCGTACCCATTTCGAACGTCCCGAGCTTCCGTCCTTCGCTCCCCAGACATGCGACGTCCTGATTTTTCCAAGACGACGTCCTGAGTCGTTTTTTGGCTGTCCCGAGGCCCGGCGAGGGCCCCCTTGGGGCCAAAAATTGCCCAAAACCTCCCGTCCTGATTTTTTGTGCACGACGCGATCGTGTCTGAGTCCCCCTCTCTCTGCCCTCCCTCCCTCGCTCCAGGCTTCGCGCCCTCCTCGCCTCCCTCTCTCCACACGCTGTCCTGCGGGCCCGGCCCACCCTCCGCCACCCGACCTCTCCCCTGGCCTGCCGCGCCTCCCACCATCTTCCTCATACTTCTCTCTCCTCCTCCTCCTCCTCCTCCTCCTCCTCCTCCTCCTCCTCCTTCTCCTCCGCCTCTCTCCTCCTCCTCCTCCTCCTCCTCCTCCTCCTCCTCCTCCTCTCTCATCTTTTCCCTCCTCTTTGTCCTCCTTCTCTCTCCTCCTCCCTCCTCCACGTCCTCCTCCTCCTCCTGCTCCTCCTGCTCCTCCTGCTCCTCCTGCTCTGCTCCTGCTGCCTGCTCCTGCTCCTGCTCCTGCTCCTCCTTCTCTCCTCCTCCTCCTCCTCCTCCTCCTCCTCCTCCTCCTCTCCCTCCAGCACATGGACAACACATTCGAACCCTCACACACACACTTGGGGGCTGGGGTTTCGAGTAGTTCTGTCCACCCATGCCCTCTCCACTGCCGCACCTTCAATCTGAACTTTGGGGGTCCGAGGGAGTTTCTTGCGCTGCAGGGTTCGAGTTTATTGCTCATATCCGGTCCCCGCTCCTACTCCTCCCCTGTTCCTGCTCAGTTTTCCCTCGGCCCTCGGGGATCAAGGAGGAAGGTCCTGCCACGTCTTTCCCCCCCTCCTGTTTTTTGACTCCTCTGTGGGCCACGAGGCCTCAGGGGGCCTCTGGGAACATTGGGGGGTGAGGATCCGGGGCGGAAGCAAAACTGGCCGCCTCCTCATCTGCATCCTCCTCCTCCTCCACCTCCTACGGTTTGTTTTCCCCTCTTCTCTTCCCTCGCCCTCTCCACCGTACCCTTCTTACCATCAATATCACCGCCACCACCATCACCATCACCATCGTCATGTTCATCATCATCATCATCATCATCATCATCATCATCATCATCATCAGCAGCAGCAGCAGCAGCAGCAGCATAATCATCATCAGCATCATAATCATCACCACCACCACCATCATCAGCATCATCACAACCACCCCCATCATCATCATCTCCATCACCTCAACCACCACCACCATCATCATCACCAAACTCATCATCTTCATGACCATCATCACCACCACCATTGTCGTCGTCATCATCATCATCATCATCATCATCATCATCATCATCATCATCATCATTATCATTATCAAAACCACCACCATCATCACCACCATCACCACAACCGCCACCACCATCGTCATCGTTATCACCATCATCATCATCATCATCACCATCATCACTACCATCATCGCCATCATCATCATCATCAGCATCATCAGCATCATCATCATCATGATCAGCGTCATCATCATCATGATCATCACCATTCTTATCATCATCAGCATCATTTGCATCATGATTAGCATCATCACCATCATCATCATCAACATCACAACCACCACCATCATCATCACCACCATCACTACAACCATCACCACCACCACCATCATCATCATCACCATCACCACCAGCATCGTCCTCATCATCATCACCATCACCATCATCATCATCACCAGCATCGTCG